AAAATTAACTAAAAATAACAATTCGAAAGGGAAAACATGTGAATTTGAGGATGAAAACGGCACACACCGAGCGTAACTGGGTGGCCACAACGTGCGTGCCGAAACGAGCTTTTCGGATTGTGGTCATAATCGCGATTCTGATAACCGTAGCCAAAGTTATGAACAAATTACCGAAATACGACTTAATTGTCAAAGTTACGCGATCACTTGCCATCCTTGCCCCGATCTACCAACTCGTGATACCTTAAAGCCATTAACGTATTATTTGACAACTCAACATCTGACTCGAACCCTCCTGCATCACAAACAAGGACTTAGGCTTTAACTTCATGATTCATCACATTTATCAGGAGAGAAACAAAGTTGCGAACTTCTTAGCGAGGCAAGGTGAGTTGAGATCTAATCTCAGTTATGGGGATACATGTTCCTTACCCAACTAACACAGGGTATGGTTCGTTTGGATAAAATAGGTTTACCTTCCTTGAGATGTTAGGTTTGTTGAGCTGAAATGTGTGTTGGAAAAGTTGTGGGTCACATGAAATGTATTTTTAAAATTAATTGTTGACTTTAACTTATATTAAAATTTGAATTTTAATTTTCACAAAACAAGGGCTAAATATTTTTTGGAATAATATTTTTCAAAAAGAATGGCATATTTGATGTTTAGATGCTTGAAATATTTTTAACTATTGCAAGAGAAAGTTGATCAATTCATTTCATTAGTCGTTAAAGTAGCAACTTGTTTTAGGAGATTTCACATTAACTAATCCCTTTAAAATTTCACTATAAATTCAGTAACCATCAATATTTTTGAACCCTTCAGAGGATAAGGCTCGTCATGCCCTGGTTGCTTGGGTTTTGGCCCTCCGAACCTGGAGAACTTCTGATATCCATTCTCAACAAATTACTCACTGTATATTGTGTTTTATTGCTAAGCACTGAGGCATAATAATATATATCATTAAAGATATAATAAGTTTTCTTACAATGTAATTCCAATTTAATAGTAAAGACAAAAAAAAAAAAAAAAATGGAGTGTTTTACATTGATGAATATGCGTATTCTTGGACGTTACTGTGGATAAGCCTCATTTATTGACAATCGAACATAATTAGATGGCCTTCTGTATGATTCTGTGGTCTCTGATGTGGCATTGAGTTGTCTTATCGAAGAAGTGAAATTTCTGGATCAAAGCTAGTAGACACAAAAAATGCAGACTGTGAAGGTATTGGCAGAGTCATAGAGGAGTTGTTGAGCATAAGAACTATTGACGCCATTGTAGGTCTCACAGTTGCATCTTCTTGAACACATAACAAACCAATATGAATACATCGCATAATGTCACGCAAGGATCTTGATGAAGTCATCAATGTGGGATCAATTATACTTTCTGATGTTCCTTTGTGCCAATTTTTCCAAGCCTACGAGAATTTGACACATTTAATAAATACAATTTCAACATTATTAATGGTTTCTTCAAAATGACAAACAAGAGTTATTTTTACTTACACGACTTAGGAGGTCCTCCACATTCTCCCCATTTCCGAAACTACTAGTTTTTTGACCACTTACGATTTCCAGAACTAGGATGCCAAAGCGAAAGACCCCTGGTTTATTTGAAAAATGTCTGTGAAATGTATACTCAGGTGCCATATATCCTCTGCATTAATGGTTAGTTTGGAGCTATAATCAGTTAACAATATATATCTATGGATAAATATCTAGAAATGTTTAATATGAAACATGATCGTTTTAAAGTTGATGCAACATTTCTTCGTTGTTTTTCATTCATAATAGTAATCATACGAGACCAAGCATTTTTGTCGAAAGCTTACTAGGTTACTACTATCCTACTAGTATAGCCTTGAGTTTTATCTTGGATGAGTACCTTGTCATGCCAAAACCTGATATTTTGGGATTAATCTTTCCATCTAACAAGATATTGCTAGCTTTGAGATTATGTTGAATGATCCCGAGTCGAGAGTATTCTTGTAGATAAAGAACTCCACTAGCAACACCCCTTATGATTTTGTAGCGTCTATCCCAATCCAAATTTGGACGGTTGATTGGATCTACAAGTTCATTACGCATATGATAATGTGAGATGAAAGACGAGAATTTTGCTTAAAATGACTAGCAATTAATGATTCACTTCAAATAGAATGTTACCAAATAAGAAGTGATCAAGACTTCCATTCTCGACAAATTCATATACAAGAAGCCGCTCGTTTCCTTCTGAAGAAAAACCTAAGATCCTAACTAGATTCTTGTGTTGAAGCCTCGCCACTAACAAGACCTCATTCGTAAATTCGAGATCACCATACCCCGAAATCATGGACAGCCTTTTCACAGCTATTTGTTGCCCACTTGGAAGTTTTCCCTGAAATTAAATTATAGCGAGTAAAAATTGAATAATTTGGATGAGTTCCAATAGTCTAAACAAATATGTGAGATAGTTTATTACATCAACGTTCTACTCTTATGTATGGCGACAATAATTACCTTGTAAACAATGCCAGATCCACCTTGCCTGAGCATGTTAGCATCAGAGAAATTGTCTGTTGCGGCTCTAATTGTACCAAAGTTATAGTACAGCGATTCAACAGTACTAATTTCATTTTGAGCTTGAAAACATATAAAAGAACATTTCAGGTGAAATAAAACTAAATGAAGATTTATGTACGTATAAGAGTAGGTATATCTAAAGAAAATTAAGCTTACTTTCAAGTTGTTCCATCGGTTTATGTCTTCGTCTAAATCTTAGGAAGATACCAATGCAAAGAGCAATTATTAGACCCACAATAATTGGAACAATAATAATAATGATAGTTTGAGTTGTATTATCATCCTTTCCTGCAATATTCAGAATAAAATCGTGTTAATATATCTTTAATATTATTGACTACTGTCCAAACATGCCATTAATCTCATTTGATAAGATTACAAGACTATCCTTAACTGTATGGTGATGAGTAAATTGCCCACCAGTTCACACATAGCATATATAGTAGTAACTATATATTCTATATGGTACGCCAAAATAGAAGTCAAAGGATTTCCTCACCTGGTGGCGCCGGTATTGGTACTGACAGTGGTGGTGGTGGTGGTGCCGGCTGAGGAGTATCATCATAGAACGAGTAGATTTCGTAGCGAAGAAGGCAGCTGGGGCTATGTGCAGCGAATCCTAGTTTTCCATTACAGCATTGTGGTATGAATTCGACAAGATGGATTAAGCAATCACTACAATCATCTGAGTTCAAATCAGGAGTGCACTGTGCTAGTCCATAAATTGTCAAAAGATCGGGTCCAGTCGCGTTGGCAGCAGCAAACTTCTTGAGAGCGCCACCATAAGCAGCCTGGCTGCGGAGATTATCCAACAACATTCTCAAATCCCTGTTGAACTCTTCCGGACTTGTGGATTCGGCTGTTAGAAACCACGCGTAGAGGGGTTCGGTTGCAAGTTTTCCAAATATTGACTCACTGGAGTAGCGTAGCATGCATTGACCACTCTCAGCCCAAAAGATCGCCTCTTTACTATGAGGACACAACAATAAGAGGGCGTCCGTAGCATTATTTATACAACTACGACATGTGTCAAGCTGAAGGTCTCCTCGACAGAGTGCCATTGCATTTACTCTATCGGAATTTTCTCCATTCGAGGCATTGTAAAATCCATTGCCATCAATATTAGAAGAGATAGAGGAGAGGAGGGTATCGAGATTTGTCTTGTACATGCTATTACTTGTGAAATTACCATTGTTTAGACACCAGTGACTCTGGGATCTAACCAAAGCTAAAAAGTTTGTCAGATTGAGGAAAATGAAAGTTAGCCATTTCCAACAAGCCATCACTGCAGTGCAGTGTGTACAGTGTATATATCTCTAATATGGAGAAAATAAAATATAAGTGAATAAAAATGGGATGAGAATTGGTATGCTTTATAGTATGAAGAAGGTCTTCTTATACAAAATGATAAAACACAATTTTGAAAAATCTATACACGACTGACCGCGTCAAGCCACACAACATGTATGTTTAACTTATTTATTACATCAATAACAAACTATAAAAAGTGAAACTCAAGTCCTTGTATATATATTGATCATTATTTTTAGAAGGATTGAATTGTTCCTTTAAGTTTTGAAATTCTATTTTAAAAAGATTACTACGGTTAAGAAAAGTAATTCAAACGTTTATATATTGATTTATATTTTCTTATTTAGACAAGGTTGTCCTAAAAATTTTATCCCCAGTAAATTTTGTTAAGCCTTCATTTTGAAAGGATTTTAAGTCAAATCGTGAATAGATTGTACCCCGACGCCCACGTCTTTTCCATGGTAAAGGGGGTTGGGGGGTAGTTTTCAACAATAATAAGTTAACCATTATTTTCAAGTCTAAAGCTTAACTTCTTGTTTCCAGCAATTGACTTGGATAATCTACATTTTCACACTACTTTTATGTATGGAAAAATAAGGGTTATTGACGGGGGAGTGAATACGACGACAACGACGACGACGTGCAAGAAAAAAGGGGGAGACGCTTAGTATTTTCAACCATTTCAAACTAGTTTTATTTCTTTCTACACCACCTACAAATCGAGCTAAACTTTCCATCCATGTCGCGTTAATAAACCTTAAACTTCTGGCAAATTGATTTTCCCCCAATTTTTGAAATTTGTCAAAGCACTAGTAGAATTCAAACTTTTGCCTTAGAAATACGGTGATGTGAATATGGAGAAATCGTCAACAAAAATTGCATTATATTGAAATTTTTTATCGAAGCTAACAGGGTTGGCCCCCAAATATTAGACATTTTTCCCATTTGACAACTGACACGTGTAGGAGGTTTGATACCCAACAAGACACATCAATAACATTTTTCTCCTTTAACAAAGTAATTAACTTCGGATGGGGATGCCCAAGTATAGTTAGAGCCGAACAACTTTTCCTTATTCCGCTCAAAGTTTGATGAAAGATGCCATCCAAGGAATAAAACTAACCCTTCTTACGCTCCCTGCAATTATCCTTTGGTTTCGGTCTTTAACAACAAACCCAGAAGAAGTGAACTCTGAAGTATACTTTTCATTGGACACTACATCTTTTTCAAAACTTGGACTACAACAACATTATTTAGTGTAAAACTTCCTTCCTTTGTCATAACATTTGAATCACACGAGAACCATTTCCAAGATGAGTAATATATAATATATATTAAGAACAAAGATTTACTAAGAAGTTGTGGTCCAAAAATATTTCTCTTTGCACACTTTTCTTATTACGTTATATACATTAAAATGAGCAAAAATGCTATACGGACAGGGACGGTGACCGACCCAAAAACAGGGCGCCACCTTGACCCTTGATTTTTACTGTTGAAATCAGATTAAGGGTCGAGATGAAGCCACCTCGGCCCCCTATTTTTGGGTCGGTCACCTACCGTGTCACTGTAGCTAATCGCACGGAAAGCATGTCTCTGCAGAGACTTTGACCGATATTTATATGTATTGTTTGCCCACAAGTAATGCTAAATTAACAAAGAAAATTATAACCATATCTACCAATTGAAATAAAGGACTGTTTATGGGGGAAAAAAAACATGGAACTGGCCAGATCGATCAGTAAATAATATAACATATAGAAGTTGTGTTATTCACAATGTGGATTTCATTATCATAAACCATACCAACACAATCATGAAAGAACAACACAAGTCTGTTTACAGCGTAATTATGTGTCAATAAGAGCAAAAGTAACATGAGTAACAATGAATATGCATATTCGTAGAAGTTAACGCGGGTATAACTCACTCATCGAAACATCATTTGTTGATAAAAGAGCATCATTATTTGATTGATCTTTGGATGAATCGTTCTCACGAGGAAGTGAACTTTCCTGATCAAAGCTACCAGACACGAAAAATGCAGGTTGTAGAGGTACTGGCAAAGTTAAGGTGGAGCTGGAGAGCATAAGAACCACCGATGCCATTGTAGGTCGATTGGCAGCATTCTCTTGAACACAAAGCAAGCCAATGTGGATGCATCGCAAAATATCACGTAACGAACTTAAAGAAGCTCTCAACACAGGGTCTATCATATTTGCAGCTGTTCCTTCATGCCAATTTTTCCAAACCTGTGAGAATTGGAATACTTGAATACAATATCGAAGTCGTCCTTGGTAACATCAAATTGACAAGGACCCAACTTTTTTATTTTGGTACTTACACAACTTAGGAGATCATCCATACTCTCTCTGTTTCTGAAGTTATTGGTTTTCTGACCACATATGATTTCAAGAACTAGGACGCCAAAGCTGAAGACATCTGATTTAACAGAGAATTGTCCATGTATTACGTACTCAGGTGCCATATATCCACTGTGATGGTCAGTTTGTAGCATATCATTAGTGGTGAATTCATTTAAATAACATTCTGACTATGTTTATGCAGAAAGATCATAGTTTTAGTTTTGTTGATCACTTAATAAATGCTTGTCATGCGTAGTATCCACTTTGTAGACAAAAACTAAAAGATACTTCAAGACATAAAATTATCTAAAATGCTTACTATGTTCCTACGATTCTGCTAGTGCTGTGTTGAGTTTCTTCTGGGACAAATAGTCTTGCCATGCCAAAATCTGAAATTTTTGGGTTCATCTCTCCATCTAAAAGAATATTGCTAGCTTTGAGATCACGGTGAATAATCCGGAGCCGAGAATCTTCATGCAGATAAAGAAGTCCCTTCGCAACACCTCCTATGATTATATAACGCTTTTCCCAATCCAAATATGGATGCATGTTGGGATCTAAAAATCCGTTAAGCATATATGACATTGTGAAGGCTCAAATAGGATAATTATGCTATAAATAAATAGCAAGAAATATGATTTGCTTAAAATAATATCAAAGTGTTACCGAATATGAAGCGGTCAAGACTCCCATTCTGAACCCATTCGTAAATAAGAAGCCTTTCACTTCCTTCAACCGAGAAACCCAAGAGCCTAACCAAATTCCTGTGTTGAAGTCTCGTTAATAACAAGACCTCGTTCTTAAATTCCAAGTCGCCTTGTCCTAGATCCCTGGACAATCTTTTCACTGCGATTTCAATTCCTTTTGGCATTTTTCCCTGATATTAAATCACAAGAAGTAAAAATCATCTAAACTATCAATGAACTTTGATTAGTACATCACCACTCTATGAGTATTTATTCCTATATATTGAAACATTTCACCTAAAAGAACATACCTTGTAAACAACACCAAATCCACCTCGTCCCAACTTGTTAGCATCAGAGAAATTTTCCGTTGCAGTTCTTATTGTACTAAAGTCATATTGTAGGGATTCAATAGTACTAGTCTCATTGTCAGCTTGACCAAATTATAGAAAAACAGTTCAGATAAAGATAACATTGAGGTTGATGTACATAAAATTAGAAAACTAAACTTACTTTCAATTTTCTCCAATGGCTTACGCATTTTTTTGGTTCTTAGGATGATGCCAATGCAAAAAGCAAGCATTAGAGTACAAACAACACTGGGAACGATAACAATGATGACAGTTCGAGTTGTATTATCCTTCTTTCCTGCAACACTCAAAATAAAAGAACTTTCGATCAAGATTCCTTCGTTCACTCGTTTTGCTTCTTTTGATACCAAATAAAGAAGAAAAATGAAAAAGAAAATGTCAAAGATAAACAATTTCTAAGTTTATCGCTAAAATGGTTTTGTGAAGATGAGAAATTAATATTATATTTTCATTGTATTAAGTTCTTCAATCTAGGCTCCTTGTAAAATACTTATGTCCTTAACTTTTTCATTGAATTTTTATTTTTAACCCTCAATTAATTAGGGCATCTCTTCATTTACAATGATCTCGGTCAAAATATCCTATTTCCGTACTTTGAAATGAGATAAAAATACTTTTGTACTTTTGCATTTAGTATTTTTAAAAATATGATCATCAAATTAGCTGTTTTACATCCGAACTATTATGTGATCTTCACATCCCCAACTTTTTGAACCTAGATTTTGTTACTTGTATGGTGCCCACAAATTTCTAGCGACATTCATTTTTCCATGAATCATAAATGATTATTTAATGAAGATTTAGATAGTTTCTACAATCAGTATTGATTTGCAACTATCATAAAAGGTTTTAGAGAACAAGTAGCACATTTATAAAGGTTGGGGTATTAGGGAAATAGTATTCAACAAAATATATTCCGGGGGAAAAAAATAGGATTTGCCAAGAGGACGTCCTTACCTGGTGGTGGTGGTGGTGGCGACGGCGGCGGCGATGCTGGTGTTTGGAGTATTTCAACCATAGTCTCATTGTAGAAGGAAAAATCAGTTTTAAAGCGAAGATAGCAACTGGGCCTAAGGATTCTAACACCACCTGCCTCATCACAACATTCTCGAATGAGTAAAACAGACTTTTTTAAGCAGTCGTCACATTCCTTTGGTGTTATATCAGGTGTGCACTGCTCAAATGCATAAGTTGTCTCATAATTCCGGTTAACTCGACTAGCTGCAGCAAATTTCCTGGGGTAGCTATTATAGGCAGTCTGGTTTCGAAGACTATCCAACAGTATGTTAAGCTCCTGGTAAAACTTGTCTAGATTTGTGACTTTTCCGCGACTATAACCCCAGTCTAAAGGAGAATACGCAAGAGTTCCGAAGATAGTCTCGTTGGAGTATCGTACCATGCAAAATTCGTGCCACAAAATTACCTGTTTTTGATTCGGACACTTTTTTAAGATTTCAGCCGTAGCATTTTTGACATAATCACGACATTGATGAGGCTGAAGATCTGCTCTACAGAGCGCAATGACATTGACTCTATCGGAATTTTCTCCTGTTGAAGCATTGTAGAATCCATTGTTGTCAATATTAGGCGAGACAGTAGAGAGGAGGGTATCAAGGTTTGTCTTGTACGTGCTATTACTTGTGTAATTACCGTTATCTAGACATTTATAATGGAAATGAATTGTTGTTGGGAACTCGGATTTGACAGTAACAAAAAGGTTTATCAGACAGATTACGAACACGAAATTAGGAAGCCATTTCCGAGAACTCATTGCTATAGTATGATAGCCTCTATAATTTAGTACGTATGGAAAATCAAATGAATTTGGCATGAAGTTTATGCTTTGAAATTTTAAGGAGATTTAGCAGGTAAAAAATCTCCATCATTGACCATTTCAACAAGATTTTTCCTCTCCACGCAAGGGGCAAGGGAAAAAATCGATTCTGTGCTTAATTAGTATAGTAAAAAAAAGAAAAAAGAATTTTTTTTTTAAGAATCATGTTTGTGAGAATGAGTAACTTAAAATTAAATTTGATTTATTTTAACACGGCCAAACATGTTTTATTCACTTGCTTATATCCATTTTACCGAGTTTATTTATTTGATTTTTACAGCTTAATGGTAAAAGAGTGTACTTTTCCCAACATTTTACAATAAACAGGATCCTAGTTATCTCCTTGTCCTAAACAATTTTGGACAGTGAAAGAGAAACATCCTAGCTGCCCACAAATTGCCAACTGTGCCGAAGTAAAGACGGAGATGGGTAATTAGCACATAACGTTCCTACATTTCATTGTTATTGTGGAAAACGTCAATATCTTTTTTTTTTTTTGACATTTTCACCATTATTTTCATTTTTCATTGCGCAAAATGTCCTTTTCGTCAATTTTCTCAATTAAAAATGATAAAATGACGAATATACCCTTCTCTTTAAATAAAACAATGAAAAAAAGAAAAAAAATAATAGCAACCATAGTCTCAATTTATTTTAAAAAGTGCAAATGAGTCCCGAATAAATTATTAAAAGGGTAATTACCACATAATGCTCATACCTTTCACTATTATTGCAAAAAACTTCCCTACCTTTTATTTATTTTTAGCATTTTAACAATTAATTACATATTTGATTACGCAAATGAAATGCAAAGGCAGACGGTAGCGCGAAGCAGAAGGTAGAATGCAGTCAAGGTTATATCTCAAACGGTTTGCAATAATCCACGGTACAAAGGAACAAATCCATATATATTAGTTAGGTAGGTTTAGGTTAAGCAATGGGCCAAACCCAATAAGGACAATAGGTAGTTAATAGGTGGGCTAAGTACAAAAGTCGTCTGAGGAGTTACGAGTAGGGTCATAAACAACTTTAAATGAATTAGGTTACTTCCAATGGTCTACATTAGTTATAAGTTAGGGTTATTTCATTTGAGGTGTCGATGCTTCACTTTAATTATTTGATCAATGCCGACTAAATACTAATGATTTAACATCATTGCTTGTCGCTTGAAGAGGTTGTTTGACAACAATTTGTCTAACAAGAGTCTTGGTAACTAAAAAGAAATATGACACTCGAACTGGAATATGTTTGTATGTGGTTATAACTAGTTTTATAGTATTTTCAATATTTAAATTATAACTTTAGTTCATTATTGCCAAACTCCTAAATTATATAGAGCCGGTCTTCAACTTTAGTTATTTAGTGGGTTAAATATCTCAATTGCTATTAAACTTTTTCAAATATTTTGTCATTGAACGTTAGAAGCACTTTGAATTGCCATTAATTTATCCAAATCTTATCTCGTTAATTTGTCACTATGCGGCTCACCTTTTTGAAAGTTACGAACTAGATAACAAGATAGATAGAATGACGGTTGTGATAACATTTGGATATGTTCATCAAATCTGTTAAACTTGATGAATTATGACTATCTGAATGGATATCTACTTAATGTGAATATGTAAATTGTGAAGAATTCCCGTCTTGAATGCAATGGATGTGAAGAAATGGGAAATTGGAGCTTAATGGGAGTTGATTCTCGAGCTGGTTAAACATATGGGCTGGATTTTATATGAAGGGGGGTGTGATGCACAAGTTTTGGTTAAGCAAATTAATTCTGCTCATTCTTTTCTTTCCTTCATCTGCTTTGGTTACAATGGATATTATATCTTTGCTTAGAGATGTCGGGTCTGGTACTTGTGGTTTTGTCGCTTTTTCTTGCTTTCGATTCTTGGTTGGAGTGTATCCCTTTATGTATTGTGTCTATTGTGCGCAGTGATCTAATTAAAGAAAAAAAAAAGTCCACATATTTCAAACAAATATGAATATAAAATTAAGATAATTATTCTAATTTATTCAATATCATACAAATGTATTTTGAAGCATGGTAATTGGTTGCGCTAAATTTTACCAACCGTAAAACATACTTTTTTTGACTTATAAAACATATATTGTTTTTACTCCTTGCAATATAAGAATGAAATATTTAATTATGACGCAATGAAAGCTGATAGTACAAAACTCCAAATAAGCAATATATATATATACATGTTTTTGCTAACAGTAAAAAAAATACGGTTCAGGGCTGCCCCCTAAACCCGACAATGAGTTTTATTATAGCTTCGAGAAGTGCGAGAGATAGGCTAATCATCTGCTCATATTTTTCTCTGGTAGGGAGGATTCTCCTTCTTTCACCCTCTCCTGCCAGGCTTCAAAGCACTCCTCCCTTGTTTTTTTTAATAATCTTGTTCTATACATAATGCGAGGATCTTTTAGTCATTTGGACAAAAGCTTCCAAAATTATAAGAAAACGAGAAATTCCATTTTTGTCCTATGCTGGAAATTGTGAAATTTCAGTCCAACTTCTATGGCTTAATTAATCGATCATGTTACATCTTCTTTAACTTCGCCCTTGTGTCCAGTCTTGACTCCATAGACACTAAGCTTCTCCATTGCCTTACCAAAATCATCAAAGAAAACGTTAGAATCCTCAGCATATTTTTCCACGAATGGCTTGGTTCTTGGGTCTGCAATAAGTGCACTGTCTGCAGCTAGAATTCCCAAACTCCTCTGCAAGTTCAGGAAAAATTTGTTGTCAAAAACCCAGGAGACATCACATCAAGAAAAGCCGACATCGCCGGATTGTTGGTTTAATTTGCACAGAGGTTTTTCAATGCCCCAGCAAGTTTGTGATTGAGAAATGGATCGACTTCTTTACCGAATAGTCTGTTACTGAATTCAGCACAGTGGCTGAATCCGATGGTATGGCCACCTCCGGTTAATACCACCATTTCTTGGATGGTGAAGTTCTTGGAAGCGAATTTGGCTATCATTTGGTCTATGGTTTGATTAGCCCGGCTATTTCCTTCGACCTGGGAAGTCTGTGAAACAAGCCCATCTTTGCGTCCTAGCCGGACTTCATAACATGGGCCGCCGGTCATGGTGATAAGGTTTTGGGTGGCGACCGCAAGGATGTTGGCGCAGGAAACGATACCGGGGCAAGAGAGTTCCAGGGCAGTTTTGATGTGGGAAACGACGTTGAATGCATCACCTGCTAGAGAATGGTTGATGCCAGCGTCCACCTCAGCTGTGTTTGAAGCGGAGGACTTGACGAGAATGGAAGCGTCGCAGCCATCTACAAAGCAATCGTGGAAGAAAACACGAAGGGTGGCGGCCGCCGTGGTAGGGAATTGAGTTTACTTTTCATGAACAATCTGTGTTACAATATCTTGAATATGGGGGCATGTTTTTGCATAAAATCCAATGTGAGGGTTGATTCTGAAAGGAAAGTGGGAGAGAGGGATGTAAGCAAAATGATGAACAATCTTGGTGATGCCATGGCTAGATAGAAGATAACAGATCAGCACACATGACCTGTAATTCCTCTCTTGGAAGAAGAAAACCAAGGAGAGTATGACAGGAAAAATGAGCAAGAAAATGAAGAGAATTGAGCAAATTGAATGAGATTGTTGTGGTGAAGAGATTTCATAGGAGAATGATGGATATAATTAGTAATGTGTGTGTATCAACACGCGAGGTAGGTATTTGTAGGTTTCCACATACATGTGGCATTGCAAGATTTCTAAAGGTGTGGAAGGTTAAGAGAGGAGCGTTAAATGTTGACTAGTGGAGTTCACAAAATGCTCCTATGCATGATGTCGTGACCATGGATGCTCTTCGAAATTATGATCAACGTGAGCTCGAATTAAGTCCATGTTTGGTAGGAATTAAAATTCAAATTTTAATATAAATCAAAGCCAACAATTAAATATCATATCTATTATTTACTGATATACTTATTCATTTCATCACCATCATCCATAAACCACAAAAGATATATATTGATGTTAACCGAATAAGAGGGAGAAAACTGATGTTTATTTGATATGAAGAATCAATCATCGAGATACAATACAATGCCAGCAATATAAATGCACAGGCTAACCAGAAATCAGTTACAAGCTCAACTAACTTTGACAGCTATACACTAAATAACAGAGTTAATACAAAATTAACAGAAATTAACGAAATTATGGTCTAACACGCCACCTCAAGATGGATGGTGGATATCCTTGATTGCCATCTTGTACATCAGAGTGAGTAATGAAGAAGAATGAAGAGCCTTGGTAAATGCATCTACCAGTTGATGTTGAGGCCGTATAGGCATGAGTTAATGAACCGTTCAGCCACCTTGTCTAGAATGAAATGACAGTCGATTTCTGATAAGTACATTTTTACATAGTTATTTTACTATCAAAACATGAGCAATTGTTGATTAATATGTTAAAATATAATTTAATTCTATACAATTCATGTTTTGCAGGACAAGTGATGAATGTAGCGGAAATAAGGAGAAATAAGTGAAAAATGAACAGAATGGAATAAAGTGAAAATTCAGGGACTAAAGTGCAAATACTCAAAAATTATGTCGGGGCTCACGAAGAAGGTTTGAGAGTGCTAAGGGTCGATTGGAAGCAATTAGAAGTCAAAAAGGAATGGAATATTATCAAAATCAATTTCCAATTCGCACAAGATATATTCCAGATTTTTAGCCGAAGATTGTGACCCATTTTTGGCATAGTAAAAGTTTTTTCCAATTTGCACAAGATATATTCTAGATTTTTAGCTGAAGATTGAGACCCATTTTTGGCATAGTAAAAGTCCGAATTGGAAAATATCTATTTCTAACAAAGTTGTAACTCTTCAAGTTATATTTCTAACACATTTTGAATCATCTAAATCAGATATCGGAAGAGAAAATTATAACTAAACTACTGACTACTATATAAAGACAAAAAATCCACGCGCGAAAGCAACTTTCCTTATTCGATTAGAACTCTTTTGGAAATCAATTTGGATGTGATTTTTCATCGAATTTTCGAATCTTACAAATACTTAACAGCAGAATACATATGGAGAAGGCCCCCATACACCATTATTCTCCTCTTTGGCTCAAGAAACACATGAGGAACTAAAAATCTTAGTGAAGCTACGAATGAACTCGTTTGGAATTGGTGATTTCATGTCTTTTATGCATTTAATTTGATCTTTTCATTATCAAACAATGCTAGATTTTAGATTTTCATTCTCTTGAATTTATATTGAAATCGGTTTAATATCCACAAGATTTTTCATAGATTCAGTCATACTTTTTCCATTGTTCAATCAAACTATTTATTGAGTTTCAATTTCAATTATTTATT